TGCGCTGAGGGTGGGATCAAAACCACAATATTGATATTGTATTGAAACTGATGTCAAATTTAATCAGTCATAATAAAAAAAATTGCCCACTACCGAGTCTCATTTTTGTTGATTATCCTTATTTTTGCCATATACGAAGTATTAGATATCATTTCAACATAATACATAGTACCAAGAGAAGAAAGAAGAGTATGGTCAACAGACCAGGTGGCTTGAGCATTTTGAAGGCCCCAGACGAAAAATATTTACTATGTACAAATCACTTTTAAAATCAGATAAATTGAATAAAAATCACCTTATAAAAAAAACATATTCAAAGTCCACGATATAATGTTTGTAATATTCAAAAGGATAAATTTTAAAATGCAAACTTATTCAAAACACAAGGCAAACTTGTACTTGTAAAAGTATTAAGAGACTTCAAGAACGAGACTCAGATAGAAGAGCTGAAGAGTCTTAGTTGATTCACTAACCAAGGACTCATGTCGACGGCGGGTAGTGAGGCATATATACAGTAGCCGATTAGCGGTCTGTGTTGGACGTTGATGCGTGTTGAGATCGGCTTTTGATAGTTTTTTCCTAACGTTAAGGTGTCATAAGTCTCAATTTTAAGCTCAAGTCATATTTAACGGCCGTTGGTTCGAGTTTTGGTATTTTTGGAGTCAAAATCTGGGGATTTGAGCCTGGCACCGGTGTTTGAGAAGCAATAGGGACGAGTTGAGAAGCATTTTAGAGTTGATTAGGAGCATTGGAGATCAGTGAGGTGTTAAAGACAAAGTTTTGAAGACAAAAGAGCTCTAGAATTGGCTACGGGATCAAAAGAAGACGAATAAAGCTTGAAAACAACGGTCAGGATGACGTTCTGTCAATCGTTCAAGCATATCTTTTCTTAGGAACATCCAAAAAACATGATTCAAGTTTCATATGAAATCCAACTTCAAGGGATACAAATAATATGAAGACACCATTCTGAGAATCTGAGAGAAGCAAGGTGAAAACCGACGATGAAGTCAGACAATCTCTGTTGAGATTTCAGAATGCGACCTTCCACCCTTTTATTCATATATTTTTATTGGATGATTCAAAACCAGTTTTGCAAGTTGTGTTGGATAGAAGACTTCATTAGATACAACTTTGATGAAGGACGAATAGTCAAAAGTGAACTATAAAGCTGATTTCTGCTTGCAGTTGCCGCTTGGTGTATTGGCGGTCTGCGAATAACACCTAATACTAATACCGGAGTAGAATTTTTTGGAGGCCCCCTTGGTAGTTGAGGCCCAAGGCAGTTGCCTGGCCCAACTGCCCTTAACGCCGCCCCTGCAACAGACATGCATGATACATGTGATAGCACATTTAAGCTAAGTAGCTAACTAAACTACTCAAGGAGCTAAACTTCATGTGCAGGTCGATTGAAGTTTGGCTTCATTTCAAAAAAGATACATTCACGTAGGGGTGGACCCAACCGGTTCGGCCCCGATTGGAACCGGCCCGGCCCGCCACTGTGCGGACCCGGACCGGCCCGGTTGATGCTAATCGGGTCCGGGCTTTTACTCGGTTGGGGAAGGTTGGGCGGGTCAGGCTCGGGCCCTGTATTTGTTGAACCGGCCCGGGCGGTTCGAGCCAGGCCCGAGCTTTTTTATTTTTTTTTCAATCATTTTTGTTTTTCTTGGTTAGGGCTAGGTGGGGATGGATTCGGTTTGGGCCACCCAGCCCGTGACCCGGCCCATCCTGGTACTGTGCGGGCCCGAGACCGGCCCGGTCTGGCGGTCTGGGACCGGGTGTGGACCCGAACCGGTGGGGGAAGCGGGGGCGTGCTCGGTTCCTGCAAAATGTGACCAGACCCGGCCGGGTCGGGCCCGGGTCACAATGGCTATTTTTAAAAAAAAATTGGGCCAAAGATGACCGTTAGGGTGGGCTGGGGACAACCCAAACGGCTATATAGCCGTTGGGTGGGCTGCAGGGGCCAGGGGGCCCGGAGTGTTTGGGGTGGGGGTGGGGTAAAAAAACCTATAAATACTCCTAATCTTAAACATTTTTCCATATCTCTTCTCCAATTCTTCCTAAATCCTACTCTTAACTCTCTACTCTCTAATACTCTTATTCTTCAATACTACCTCCGTAACCCTAGAGTCTTCCCAGTTTGACTCTTTTGGGTCAAACTTTATAAACTTTGACCATTAATTATTCAAAACTCACATTATGTTATGATTAAAAATTTATTTCATATACCTCATTGTAAAACATATTATTTGAATGTTAATTTATTATGAATTTTATAAATATAGATATGTAGATATTAGAGTCAAAGTTCAACTTAGAAGACCATGAAAAGTCAAGATGGGAAGATCTTTGTGTTACAGAGGTAGTATATTATATTTATATATCTACTTTATATTAATTATCTACTTATAATTTATAAATACATACATTATATTACTTATATTTCTTATCTAATTGTATATTACTTATACATTTATTATATCTATTAATATAGTTGGAATTATATTTAATTAATTTGAAGTCATTCTATTACTCCCATCCGAAAGACTGAAAGTCCGAAAGAGGTACGAAATCATTCTATTATTTACACTTATTTAATTTTGTATTAACATTACTTGAAAAAAAAACTAGTTAATTCTCATTATAGTTAAAGTTAAAGTGTTAAACTATAATAAACTCATAAGTTAATTGGAGGTCTTCTTAGATATAAACAACATTTTCCTGCTTTTATGAAAGAATATGATAACTATATTATAAACTCGGCTGAGATCGACACCTGTGAAAAAGTTTGTAATGCTTTGATATATTTTAATAATGCAACTGAAACTTTTAGTCATGTTTATAAACCTACCTCAAACCAATTTATTCGTGAAGCTGTTAATCTCGCTGATGCTTTTTCAAATTTTGAGAATGTTGATTATGTGAGTTATTTTGCTAGTTTTATGAAGGAAAAGTTTTTAAAATATTATTCACATATTCCGCATATTTATGGTATAGCATATGTTCTCGATCCTCGTTTTAGACTTGGTTCTTTAGAAGAATGTTTGAATTATTATTATGCTGTTTTTTTAGTCCAATGACAATGTATGAGGACAACCCAATTGATCCGAAAAAAGAATACAACGAGGTTAGTGATATATTTTATGCATTATTTAATGAGTTTCATGCACAATATGACAATGCGCCCCCTCCCCCGACACAAACATCATCGAAAGGAAAATCATTTTTCAAATCTACATTTGTCAATCCTATTAAAAAACGAAATCAACTCCCGCTACGCAACAAATCACAATTAATGAGATTTCTTTGTATTTAACATATGATGTTGATTTTGAAGAAGATGATGATTTTGACGTACTAAACTGATGGAAGGGAAAAGAAAGAATGTTCCCGATTTTAGCAAAGATGGCTAAGAAACTACTATCAATGCCGGTTTCAATAGTTGTCGTGGAACAAGAATTTAGTTCGGTCGGCAATGTCCAAACGCAATGTAGAACGAGGTTGAGCGCAGAATATCTTGAGATGCTTATATGCTACCATGATTGGTTGAATGCGGCCCGTAGAGATAAAAAATTGACATCACCTGATCCCAACACTTTGTGGATGAATCTACAACCGAGGGTGACTCTACCTATGTCGGAGATTCCGATTGATTAGTATTTCATGTTATAATTTTACCTTCAATTCTCAATTGTAACTTGTAAACTTGTAGTTCATATTTCAAATAAATATACCTTCATTTTTTTATATGTAGCATTTGTTTACTGAATTCATAAAATTAATTAATTAATTTTACATTATGTAATTTATTCAAACTAAAACATACAAAAAAATTAAAATTAAAAGCCCCAAACGGCTATATAGCCGTTGGGCACTTTGGTAATAGTTTAGTTGTTTGAAATTTGAATCAATAGAGGCATAGAGCCGTTGGGGGTGGGGTAGGGTGGGGGTACAAAAAATCTATAAATACTCTTATTTTCTAACATTTTTATGCACATCTTCTCCAACATCCAATCTCTAATCTCCATTCTCCATCTTCATCTCCATCTATTGTAGAATTATTATACCTACCATTTTTAAGATGGAAAGTCAATATGCCGTTATACAGTATAATTTTGATAAGCAGGACCCGAGGACCGGGATGTGGTACACAACTTGCAAATGGTGCGGGAAAAAGTGTAGCATGGGGGTTTCAGGCAGATACGGGATGACAATGAAGCATATTCAGTCATGTGACAAAGCCAAAGGATCAGGAGGTGCGGGAAGTTCCGATTGATTACAATTTACAAAATGTACTTCATATTGTATGTTTCTCTTAATTGTCAAATGTAGTTTCTATTTCATTTCAAATAAATGCACTTGAAGTTTGTTTTTAATACTTGTATAAAACTATAAAGTATAAATTATATAAAAAAATTGGTTTTAACCGGCCCGGCCCGGCCCGGCGGGTGGCCCGACCTGTGACCCAAGTGGGTGGCCCGGCCCGAACCTAGGGCCGGTCCCAGGTCCATGAGTTACAAACCGGTGGCCCGACCGGGCCCGACCCGGCCCAAGTCCATGTCTAGGGCTAGGTGTTTTGGTGGGTTTTGGGGTGGGGGTGAGGGGGGGTGTCAGGAAAATTAGAAAGCTAAAAAAAATACCTTGACCCGGGCCCGGTTAGGCCCAGATCCGGTATCAACCCGGGCCGGTTCCGGGCCCAAAATTTTGAAAAACAGCCCGCTCAAGCCCGGCCCAGAACCGGAACCGGACCGGCCCAGGTCCATCCCTACATTCACATGTGAAGATGTGTCACAAACATTACAAAGAGGCTAGACTTCATACAAGGCCATCAGACTCGTTTCCTGCTGCTGAATTTACACCATATGGGAAGCTAGGATTCCCCAGGAATGATTCGTTTTTTGCAATGAAAACAGTCAGTCATCCAAAGTCTTGTGATGCAAATTAGATCAAGTTGCCGAGTTGTGTTTAGGATATATCCCACTACTTTGTGATTTGACCATGGAAGGTATAATTGTATGGGTATAGAGTATAGACTGTAAAGTTGGTTGCGCAAAGCCTGTTTTGCTCCGGCAGCAGGGGTATGCCCCTTGTTTCTCTGATGTATTTTATTTCAACTACGTAGTATTAAATATACACTTCACCTTTTACCAAAAGTACTCAAAACCGCAGATACCACATGTCTACATGCAGAGTATCTTATAGTTCTGGTTCTATTACTCTAAAAGTAAGAACAGACCTGTCAGATTACAAACTTGTGGGGCGATTTTGTATTGTAGTCATTTAACGCATTGAAGGCAGAATCAATTGCTAGTCACCCAGAAAACTGTTATAGCCATGGCTGCCGGGGAGTGAAACAGCGGAAAAAAAGTATGTCATAATTATACATCCTATAACTATTGGGGGAATTAATTTAAGATCACATCACTGGATAGTAGACAGTTATGCAGGTATCCTAATTGTGGACGGCAACAAGCTGGTCTAGAAACAGCCTCAGTCTCTTACTGCCCTAATTGCAGACAAGCATTCAAATAATCATATTGATAAAATGTCCTATTGAAGAAAGTTAAGTATATTTAGATCAAGAAATTCAAAAACAGAGACAATAATTGTGTCATCACTGATAAGTAAAAGACGCATAACGGCGTCACATGCTACACCAAAAAAAGGAAGAATGTAAAAGTGCATGCAGTGCTCTGCCTCAGCAACTTAGAAAAGCGAAGTTCCCTTTCCTTTCTTATCCCCACCAATCTCAAAATGCTTGCACCGCTGCATAGCAACCAGAGCACCAGTATGTCAACTAAAAATTGGACAATTTATGGGTCTTTTACAAACTAAAGCATCTGCAGTGTTAAAAACAGACCTTGATTGCATGTTGGGAAACATGTTTGCATCCCTGACATTGAAGTCTCAACACAATCTTCTTTGTAGTCTTAGCCTAGTCAGACAAACAGAAAGGTATCACACCAGTAAAAATAAGCACTTTTGGAACTACAACCGATTATAAATGAGAAGTGTACCTTCTTGTGGAAGACGGGCTTGGTTTGTCCACCATAACCTGATTGTTTACGATCATAGCGACGCTTTCCTTGAGCAGCAAGGCTGTCCTTACCCTTCTTGTATTGAGTGACCTTGTGCAGTGTGTGCTTCTTGCACTCCTTTGACTTGCAGAAGGTCTTCTTAGTCTTTGGAACATTCACCTGGAAGAGAAAGATAAGAAAGAATATGATTTTACATAAATAATATGATGTACTTCATCGAAGAAAAAAGGAGTTTTATTTTTTCTTATCGTTATTACTACTTTTTGGTGTTTGGTCAACTAAATGAAGGTACAAACTTTTACAACTTATGGTGAAACAGGAAAATGATCAGTTTATACACTTGCGAAATGAGAGGGAAGCAAATTATACACCAGATACACAAGAATCATAAAGAGCTATTTTAATTATTAAAAAATGCCTGCAGAACAGGAATTGACTGCACCCGTACTCTCAAAAAGATCAAAAGAAACCAATTTTGAATGGTACTCCCTCCATCCCTAAATTATCTTCTAAAGTACATTTGATACATGAATTTAGATAGTAGGTATTGTGTTGTAGAGAGTTGTGCAAAGGAGAGACAAATGTGTAAGAAATGCCGTGAACCACAAATTCTTTGCCAAATGGGAAATAGGAGATTATTTGTGGACGGAGGAAAAAGAAAATTTGGAAGATAATTAAGGGACGAAGGGAGTACTATTTATCATTTATAACAACTACTTGAGAGCCTTAGACCACACTAACATTGTAGAAACAGAAAGTATACTATGTTTTCACATTGTAAGCTTCATGCTACGGTAAATGGTAAATTTAGATATCCCGCTTAAAACACTACCATAATCCTACAAGAAGATTATAAATATCCCAAAAAAAGGGAAGGAGGGGGCTGGAGAGGCTGGGCCCAGGGTTATATTTTTCTTTTATAATATATACAGTATTAAAAATTAGAGTTAGGGGCAGTCTAAAAAAACTCAGCCCAGTACATGCTGATACCCAAAGTCCCAAACCCAGGAGAAACCTGGTTCCTTCGGTCTTCTTTTCCTGGCAACTGGAAAGCCTTTTAGAGTTGAGACTTGAGAGCCTGACTCTGAGAGGAAAACTGGCCAAAGCGGAGAGACGCCGTCGCCCGCTGATCACATGTATGCTGCATCCGACCTGCTCACCACGTTCAGCCATCCCTGCCAGGCTGCCTGCTGTGCTGCTCTAATGCTCCACGCTACCGGCTACTCCGCCTAGCGGCTTAGACCCAGTAAACAGTCTAAGTCTCTCCTTGTGCCTCTCATATTCGCAGGAGTCAGCCATAGAAAAGTTACTAACTTTTCTATTTTTCTTATTTCAGTTTTATTCTACTAGATTGTGGTATGCTTTTTTCATTTTTCAATGGGTTAACAGGTTAGATGAATTACTTATGAATTTCTTAACATAATAACATATTAATATGGATTATATGATTGAAAACACTCATTTAATTATTTCATTAACTTTAGCCAATTAAAGTAGGTATTACTACACATTCCACTCCTAAAAGGGCAAAAAGGACCTTGGATTTATTTTTTAAGCCTACTACAAGTACAGAAATCAGCCAAGAGTTAAGTGTCTTGATTGATACTCCTAATATTTCATCCGTTCATGCCGATCGTATACACATCTTTATTGAAAAAGAATTTACCAAAAAACTGATGTTGAGTTGGACATCAATGAGCGCGAAGGTCAAAGAACGTTGTATTCACCTAACATTTTAGTTTCATTCGTGGTATATTGTATGTACTGCCTAAATATATTGTTATAGATTTTATAGGTTTTTGCTAAAATTTTACTAATAAAAAGTAACATTTTTGTCTAGTACTACGTACTATAATTGCGATCATATATTAGGAATTTATTTCTAAATTTTAATGTATTTTAGTCATTATGTTTGAATTCTTTACTCATTCATATACGAAGTATATTTTTAGTTCATAACCCGGGGGGGAGGCTAAACTTCCATCATGGCTACGCCCCTGGTCCCGAATGGTCTAGCGGAGAAGAAAAATGTAAAAAAATTGTCAAATAATAAAAACAAAAAAATGGGGTCTGGCACTATTTGTTCCGTATAAATGCATTCAAAGTTTCAAAAATCAAGACTACATTGAAAAAATGAGTTGAGGGACAAGCAGTTATGTTTCATTTGAAACAATGAAGAAAAAGCCAGAGTTGAGTAACGATTCTGGTTAATACATGAAACCCAAAACTACACATCTAGACCTTACTAATTCACTAACACATAATTTTAACTGCATGAACGAACTAGGAGAAACATTATCATTAGAATCTCAGCGACATATTCAAAACAAAAGATGTACCACCATTCATTTAGCATGCCAAAAAACAAAAAACAAATATATCTGCCTGATAATAAACCAAGATAAGTCTAAATCACAGAAAATCTAGCATTAGATATAGGGAGCTTACCATGGTTGAATGTAGATAGCTGACTATAGTCTGAATATGCTATGCTGCTCTACACCCAAAAACAAGTATGTGGGAAGAATTGGGATTAGCACAGTTATAAATCTATCTATATATAGTCTATACATAATGTAGATTCCTTTGCTGATTGCTAAAGTACCAGTGATGCTTATAATTTTCTTTAATTTCTAGTCTACTGTTGATTCCAAATACCAAAACTGAAACTTTTAGAAATTCCCACGCTGCCACTATATAAATTGAACTAATCTCAACTTTCACAATAGCAGCCAAGCATCTCTGTAATGAAACTTTACCCTGAGCAAGAATTCTAAAAATGACAAAATTTCAAATTTCTACATTTCAAAGATATTATTATCTATTACGATACGGCATTGTAATGTAACAAATGCTCTTAGTATTTTCAAAATACCGGCAGAAAATATTGATTTAAAAAGCACTAAAAACTGAATAAGCCAAATCAGTTGGTACCAAATACAATTTAATATAACGCGCAAAACATCTGTATAAGATTGTGTTTGAAAATATTGGATAAGCGTGGAAGCTAAAGCAACTTGGAATGATGGAGGCAGGAGTTTGGAAAATGAAATACCTTAATAATTATATGAATCACAGAGAAATGCCGAACAGGAGGCTTGAGCGAAGGGAAGGTTTTATATTTTGTGTAAACTAAGGCATGTCTTCTAGGGTTCTGTTAAATACTATTGTTGGGCTTGAGTCCAGTTGTAGAATGTCAAGTCATGGTCTCATTGTTAATTTGGCCTAACACTTCTCAAGCAAACTCGGCAACTTTTTCTTGACATACAATATTTAAACTCGGCCCAACGCCTCTGTCAAGTGTTAGTCAAATTGATTTTTCTTGGTCAATGATAATCAACTTTCATTAATTATATATCTTAATATGAAATTATTTTGAATATGAAAATTATATCAAAATGTTCCTTATTCAAACTATTTTCATAAAAGTTTAAAATTTATCAATTATACTTCGGATATAAATATAATAGTTAAAATCATTACCCAAAGTTTGTCATCATTGACCAAGAAAAGTCAATATGGCAAACTTTTTCGGAACGGAGATAGTATAATTTCGTTCAATTGGATACTAAGGGAGTGTTTTGCTTAGTGAGTATTTTTCAGAGTTTTTAGGTTTAATAAGGCTAAAAGTTGATAGTAGGAGATGAGTAATTTCAACTGTTTTTCACTATCTATTATATACGGAGTATAAAATAAAGTACAAAGTATGTTTTAAGGAACACCTACCATTTTGTTTTTCAAAATGATTTTTCTTTTAAAACATTAATTTTCAACTTTTGCTATTAATCACGTTTACTAAAATAAATCACTTTTCAAAGTAGAAGTGAACGTAAATACACCTCAAGTGAGTGTTTCATATATTGTTAAAAAGTACTACCTCCAACTCGAAATGATCTTGTATTTTCTATTTGGGTTGTCCCAAAATGATAGTTTTATTTTCCTTGTTGATAAAGAAATTAAAATAGATCATCATTTATATCCCCCTTTTATGATGAGTAAAAGTAAAAGAGTGAACAATACTGCGTACAATAATGTAAGATTATATGGATCACTATTTCACTATTTTTTGTTAATATTTGAACTAAAAGAATATAGGAGCACCAATAAAGTGTTGATCAAGATGACATTTGTTTTTCATAATGATGGATGACATTATTGTTTGATGGTGATACTTTGACTTGATAGTGACGTTATAACTTTACGATGCCAGCATAATGTCATAATCATGGCATTCTTGTTTTTCACTCAATCGGAAGTATATTTTTAAGGACATTTTTTGCATTCACTTTTATATTTACTTCTACCAAGCTAGAAATATCATGGTGCTATTTTTAGACTTACCAAATTCGAGTCATATTTGGATCATTTTATCGTGTTTGTTGTTGCCTTATAAAAAGTTTTTATGCCACAGAAACAGGACCAAGAAAGGAGAAATAATATAAAAATGGAAAAATGAACTTCATTTGAGCAAATCACCGATAAAACTTGAGGATTGGGGACTGTGAATCCACAAATTTGAGAGTGTTGAGGTAAATAGACCAAGTCAAAGTCCAGTACAAAACTCATTGGAGGTCTTTGGATGAATATAATGGAGCGTGTAATAATTAAAGAAAGGTAGAAGAGTTAGAATTTGGTCGCATTTGTATTAGGTTCGAGATAATTAACTCGGTTCTTAAAGCAAACTTAAATTTATATATTAACCACTCACAATTAAAAAAAACTGAATCATCTGCTCGCAAATTCATAGATTCCCGCCAGAATGAAGTGTTGGGAGATCTCCATCCACGGTCGATGCGGGATTTGAACTTTGGTCCTTTATCCAAATTTTTCATCACTCAACCAACTGAGCTACTCGTGCGGGTATCCGGCCATCATCCTTAAATATTCGGTTTTTCATGTTTTTCTCTTGACATGTCATTGTCAATTAAATAAAATCAAAGTTTACTAATTCCACTTCAACAATGATCTCTATTCAATTAGTTTTTATGAAGTTTTTTGTTATTTCCAAGGAGGTATTTTAGTCATTCCAAATTTAAAGATATGGTTCCATTAAATGTGTTTATTGAAATTTGAGAATAATCTTGAATAATCTAGGATTCAATATTTGATACCATATTTTTTTCCTAAATAATGTTTTAGAATAATCTCATCTCCTCAACCATAATTTCAAGAAAGATCTTCTACATCATCAAGATAATCACCAAATAATTTCATTAATGTGGATGCCCTAAGTAAGGGAAGCTACATGTCAAACAATTGTTGGTTAATTAAGGGACTCTACGCTAGGGATGGATCGGACCCGAGTCGGGCTGGGCACCGGGCCGGGATTGGGCATGGGGTTTTGGGTTGGAGGCCCGGTACCGGCCCGGGTTTAGACCAAGACCGGACCCGGGTATATATTTTTTTAAATTACCCTTTTCGCATTCATCCCCAACCCCCACTAAGGGTGGATCGGGCCGAGCCGGGCCCGGGGACGGGACTGGGATCCTAGGCTGCAGGCCCGGTACCGACCCGGGTTTGTACCAGCACCGGGTTGGGACCGGGTATAGTCGGATCAATATTTTTTTAATTGGCTTTTATAATTAATTACTACCCCACCCACCCACCCCAAACCCCCCGAAACCACCCACCCCCACACACCTAGCCGCATCCCAAAGCAAAAAAAAATGGGCCCAAACCGGTCGGGTCGGTCACCATTTTTCCTGTCACGTAGCCCCCCATACCCCGGTTCAGGGCCCCAGTACCGGTCCCAGTCCCGGTCGACCCGTCCCAGTCCATCCCTACCCCCAAAACCCACCAAAACACCCAGCCCAACCCACATAGCAGCCCAATGTGAAAAAATCAAAAAAAAAAATTGGATCCCGTATATGGATCCCGTAGCCCGCCCTTAATACCCCCGGTTTGGGCCTCCAGTCTCGGTCCCGCGGCTGGGCCGGACCTACACAGTAACGGGCCGGGCCAAACCGGCCCAATCCATGCCTACTCTACACGGCATGGAAATGGGAACCCCACCAACTTCATATGCTCGTGTCATGCCGCTCCTGCAAATGTAGGGCATTATGCCAATTGGAGGTCAAGTATCCCTATCCTCAAACTCGGGGTACAAATCATCAACCGCCATTTCTGTTTCTTGGAACACCTTGCATGCAGGAGTGGTGTGTTCCTAGCTTCGCTTTGGTGAACTGTCCCCATGGTTTAGTGATACGACTTCCACAATTCAGAATCAATCACAAAAGAGCTAAGAACAACAGTAAGAAACAGAATCTTATTCACAGAAGGTAAGTCGTATACACTTGTCCCAAGAAGGAGATAGAACTCCAACTCCCAGTCCCAGACAATTTGTCTAAAAACAGCCTGCCATCCTACAGCAGAAATATACTATTTATATCCTTCTACAAACAGAAGGTAGTTATTAGTTACTAACAGCTCACAACTAATAACCGCTAGTCTATTTTAGGCCTTCTAGAATAAACTCGCCCGAACCATCTATTCTGAGTAAGTAGACTAGCTGGATCTCTATCAATACTCCCTCCTTGTAGAACCAACTTGTCCTCAAGTTGAAAGTCAGGGAATTGATCTTGGATCATTTTAATATCCTCCCAAGAGTCTTCAAAATCAGGAAGGCCCTGCCAATGCACTAGGACCTCCTTCTTCCCTTCCTGATTTAGCCTGCTGTCTCTCATAGCTTCAGGTCTCACTTGCAACTCACAATCTTCTGTGAGGCAATCTGGGAGGCTTTGATAAGCCACAGTGGGTTTCAGCACTTTCTTCAGCAAGGATATGTGGAATACAGGGTGTATTCTACTTCCTTCTGGCAACTTTAATCTGAAAGCAACCTTATTTATTTTCTCTGAAATTTCATAAGGGCCATAAAATCTTGGACTCGGCTTCTGATTGATCTTCCTGGCCAAACTTCTCATCTTGTATGGTTGTATCTTTAAGAAAACTTGGTCTCCTACTTCCAATTCCTCTTCCCTCCTATGTTTATCAGCTTGTTGCTTCATCATATTTTGTGCTCTGGCCAAATTCTCCTTTAATTCAGTCAACATCCCATTCCTCTCAGCAGTCATTTTAGCTACTTCATCTACTGAAGTTATACTGACATCACCTCTGATGATAGCAGGAGGTGATTGTCCAAACAAGGCCTGATATGGAGTGCTTTTCAAAGAATTATGATAATTAGTATTGAACCAATATTCAGCCCATGGAAGCCATTTAACCCATTGCCTCGGTTTCCTTCCACTTAAACACCTCAAGTAAGTTTCTAAGCAACGATTTACTACTTCAGTTTGCCCATCACTCTGTGGATGGTAGGCAGTACTATATTTGAGCTTTGTCCCAGCCAATCTGAACAACTCTGACCAGAAAGAACTCAAGAAAAGGTTGTCTCTATCACTGACAATGGATTTGGGAAATCCATGTATCCTCACTACCTCCTGGATAAATATTTCAGCCACTCCTTTGGCATTATAAGGATGTGCCAATGGTATGAAATGTGAGAACTTTGTCAGTCTGTCAACCACCACCAAAATAGTGTCTTTCCCTTGTGATTTTGGTAGACCTCCTATGAAATCCATGCTAATATCAGTCCAAACCTGTTCAGGTATTGGTAAAGGCTGCAGCAAACCTGCAGACTTTAAAACCTGATATTTATTCCTTTGGCAAGTGTCACATCCTTGAATATAATCCTTTATGTCAGATCTCATCCCCACCCAAAAGAACAAACTGGCAATCCTCTTCATAGTCCTGAAATACCCTGAGTGACCCCCTATTGCTGAATCATGGTATTCCTTGAGAATGATTAGAATTCTGTGGGACCCTTTTGGTAAAATCAACCTTCCCTTGTAATAGAGTAAACCTCCCTTCATCTTATAATCCTGATATTTATCTGGCCGAATCAACATCTTCTGCATGATCTCCCCCCATTTAGGGTCCTTTTCTAGTTCTTCTCCCAAACCCTCCCATTCCTGGCAAGTTACTGTGGATAGAGCTGCATATGTATATTTTCTGGATAAGGCATCAGCTGCCTTATTTTCAATCCCTGATTTGTATCTAATGGTAAAATTGGAACCCATCAGTTTGGCTATCCATTTTTGTTGATCTTCTCCCATAACCTTTTGCTCAGTCAAGTATTTCAAACTCCTTTGATCTGTATGGACCTCAAAACTCCTTCCCAAGAGGTAAGGTCTCCACTTTTGAATAGCAAAAACAA